TTAAGATTTACAGGCAAGTTTCTTTTAGGTGCCATCTCACACACTTGGCTTATTTCTGATGTATTGAGATTTTCAGGAGGCTGAGCTGAGGCTGAAGACCAGGTTTGCCTACATGGACATTTTGCTGAGGAGTTTGATTTTGCTGGGATTTCTTTTGTTTCCCACACACACACTGCATGGCCTAGGAGATGGGGCTTTCCCTCCTTAAATGAGGGTGTGCCAGGACCCTAACGGCGCGTGAAATCCTCAAATTCTCTGACTCTGTCTCTGACCGTAATATGGTAAATAGGAAAGCCTATTCGCATTGCATACACCTGGGAGGCAGGAAAGTTTTAAGGGTTGGATCATACTTCCGCACTATTAAAGAGCAGGCTGGGTAGGTGGGGCTCGTCCGCCATGGAAGGCAGGCCATCTAGTAGAAGGAAAACTCCAATTTCAAATCTCCACTGCCTTGTGGCTATATACACTCATGGAAAAGGCTTCAGGAGTTAACCTAGAGGCAAAATCCGGAGCTGGAGTCCCAGAAGCAGTCTGTGTCGTTCTGCCAACTCTTGCGACGTTGCTGGAACCAGTTGTATTGGCTCTTGGTTTTCCATTGGACCATTTCAGCAACATGGAGAGGGAGGATTTGCTGCTTGGGTAACAGCCTATCCTCCATACTACTTTACCCATGCTTCATGCTCTGGAGAGGACACTCCTCGATACAGAGCATGTTACCATAGTCTCTCGAGACTGAGGGATGCCTATGATGAGATTTTCATCATCTGGTTCTATCCCTTTAATCTCGGGTTTCTCAGGTAGGGGTTTGCCTTGTACGATTTTAAATGCTTTTGCAGCTGAAGGTGGAGACTTCCCACAACTAGACTCCTCAGCCCTCCAGTGCTGTTGCAACAAATCCACAGGTTCTGACCATGCCAAAAGCAATTCACTCCCCTCTATGGGTCTCAGCCTCACTACTTTGTCCTCAGGACAGAATGCTCTTTCCTGGGCTTTTTGCCTGAGGAATTCCTAGAGAGTTCTAGGAATTGGAGTAACAAGGAAATACAAATAGCACATCTTATAGACTTTCTATTCAGGACTAGACAAATCTTTCCCTGTCAGTGACTTCACTTCAGAAATAATAAACAGCTGCTAAAATCAGCTGATTTTCACAACTAAGTTGCAGCATAACTTTGTTTGGGAGTGCTCCTTCATCTCTATACAGGATACCTTTATCAATTAATCTGCAATCCTCTCTTAATTAATAGCTCTAAATACAGTATCATTTATAGGCAAGATTAGGAAGCGTTAAATGTTTGTACAGTGGGCATTAGAAAGCTTTGGAGGTAGCACCCAAACAAGTACAAGGGAATACAAAAGCGACAGGTGAAAGACCGTAAATGAGAAACTAAAAAGAGAAAGAATGCATTCATCGAATGGCTGTGCATGGGGCAGCTTCCCCAGTGGTGGACCACATCATGCAGAACAGTTTCCTTGCCAATTTTAAGCAGTGTGTTGATATTTCCGCTATCAGCTGCTGATTTGCTTATTTGCCCAAGTGTTTTGCTGACCATTTTCCTGATCATTAACACCATCCACTGCCCATAGTTTTTAATCAGGGTGGATAAAAATCAATGATTTTTTTTAAATTGCTTAAATTATGATTTAAATCTGATTTTTAAAATTTAAATTGTGATTTAATTCAGTTTTATTTAAATCAAATCCACCATGTTTTTAATTAATTACTTTACTGCTTTTATCAGCTTCTACATATTTTATCCATTATTTTTATTATATTTTTTTACTGGGTGTTGTTTATTTTTAAAATGAAAAGCAGTGGGTTTTTTTTTCTTAAATAAATAGTGGCTGACCAGGTAGAAATAAGTAAATAGTAACTAATATTATTCTCATGCCCTACCACATTTCAAAAAATTGTGCCACCAAGCTGTCCTAAAGAGATATGAAACTCTTGGGAAACTTCATGTGCACTGATAGTTATACATAAACCTCCTTCCACCTGGCCGTGTCAATTGGTTCAAAACTGCTACATCTCCTACAATTTAGACTGTGCCATCAATCTGAGTACAAGCTATGCTGAATCTGACCAGACCCTTTTTTTTTCCTGAGTAAGCACGAGGTGAAGATACATATACAAAAATTTCATTCAAATCTTTCCCATGCTAATGCCTTTCAGATCCCTTGGACAACAAGCCCCACAAGTTCTCAGCTCCCACTGTGTAGCTAATTCAGTGGCTTGCAGCACATGCTCCCTCCTGGAGGGTCAACAGAAGACATTGAGGTGGGATGCGGTGCCTTCATAACAATTGTTAAAAAAAATTCTGCTCGGTCCCCATGTCATCCCTGCATTTGTGATTTGCAATTTCCTACCAAACCTACTTACTATAGGTTACCCATCTGTGCCATCTAGTCAATACTGAACTATGGCAACCCTTTTCAGTGCTTTCCAGGTAGACAATATTCAGAAGCGGTTTGTCATTCCCTTTTTCTGGGGGCATCCTGGGACTGTGCAGCTTGCCCAAGGCCACACAAGTTGGCTCTTCTCCCAGGAGGCACAGTGGGGGAATCAAACTCCCAACCTCTGGCTCTGCATTCAGATACCTAAACCACTGAGCTACTCAGCTGGCTTATACTGGGCTAAGAAGCATGGTATTTGGAAGATCAGTGTTACTTGGAAACAAACATTCTGATCTACGGTTGGAGAGAACTTTGCTGCATCTTCAGTTAAAGATGTTCTTCTTGGTGCTGGGGCCCAGTTTTTATCGGCCAAACTGCCTGCTTTTTGAGTGCCAGAGTATATGATATTACTGTTTCTCAAAGCAGTTTCTTAAATTAGGATTAACACAACAACCACCTCTCGTGACAGTGCATGCCACTTTACAATAAAAAGGTTCTCAAAACTGTCTTAACATGTCATTCAACACATTTCTTTCTTTTACAAAAATATTCAGAAAAATGATCTTGCACCCAAAGAGATGCAGGCAAGTTGATCTTCTCTTGGCAGACCTCGGATCTTATGAGCCTTTTGTCAATTTACAGGAAAGCCCAGACCAGAGGGTTTGTTTTGTTTCTCTAGTACTGAGCCTTTGCTTTTCATGAAGTCACAAGTGTAATTAAAGTGTTTAAAAAAACCTGTTATGCCCATGCTGTCAACATTTTAAACAGCTCTTCAACATTTTTATTTAAATCATTAAATGCTCATGCTACTAGTTCCTTTTGATGAACCAGGAACAATTTTCATTATTTTATTTCATTACTATCCATCTTTGGTAAGTTATGAGACAGAGTTATTATTTTCCTTGGTTTGGGTTTACTCCCAATACTGTATTTCCATGGTTTTCATGTCATCAAGACTTAGTTTAAATGATAAGTATAATAACAAAATGCCTGCAAATCTATAAACACTTTTGTAGCTTTTGTTGTCATAGTGGGAGACCCAGATTCTCTGAAAGTGACTGGTCCGACATAATGCAGGAAAGGTAAAGATTCAAAGCCACAGCTGGCTAGCAGCTTCTGAGATTTGTAGTCCAAAGCCCTGAAGGAACAAAGTTGCAAAAGGGTGCACTATGTTTGGGTGAGGGGTGTTTATTTATTTATTTTTGTGTAGATCAACAAGGGACTTCAGGGTTTTTTTCAATTTAATTTAGATTTTGGTGAGCAGGATTACTTGATTTTTTGGAAAAGACACTCAAATTCAAGAGATTTAACCAGATATTACCAACAAAGAAGCACTTCTTTGAATAAGGGACACCCCGCCTCATGTCATCAATTTATCTCGTTCTACAGTTTTGGAAGTAATATTTACAGTATTAAATCTCATTAAAAGTTTCCACTTATAATTTACAAAGGTAACTCTGGAAGGTAGTGAGTGTAGCATAGTGTAGTGTAGTGGATACATTGACCTTCTAGGACTCAGGATATATGTGTTCAAATCTCTGCTCAGTCCTGGAAATTTACTGAGAGGATTCAATTGATGAAACCATTCCTTATATATTATACTTACTGTGAACGGCTTTATCAGGCTTGCTATTAATTTTTACATGATAGCACATATAAAAATTCATGTAAAGTCCTTTGTAATTAAACTGTACCAATAGAAACATATATTATTTTAAATCGATTTTATTTACACTAAACCTGATGGAATGGAAACTGGGGGATTGGTACTGGTAAAACCACTCCTTATACTGTATATCTCACTTACTTTGAATGCCTTATTAAGGTCGCTGTAATTCGGTTCCCTCTTTACCACACATAACTACTGTACTGTATTAATCACTCTTCTAAAGAGCAGGGTGGAAAAATATATATCCGAGTCAAAGTCAATACACGTGGCAAGAAAAACAGGCTTGGAGTAACGTATGGGAAGTCGGAAGAATCAGGGAATGTCTTGGACACGTTTACTCAGAAGTAAGTCCCACTGAGTTCAGCAAGACTCATTTTCACGTAATTGTGTACAACCTTGTCGCTTAAATCCCGCTGTTTCAGCCGCACAGAACACACTAAATATTACTCAGGTTGTGTCCTTCCAAATGTACTAAACTAGTAGTATATCTGAAGATTTAAAGCCGCTCAAGAAGCGAAGTTCACATAACGTAAATAATTCTAATTAAAGGATTCGCTCCCTCCTCTCTCCCTCTTTGTGCATACTGTATTTCGTGCCGACTTATAGGGAACTGAGATATTTAAGAAGCGGTTCTGGCAGTTCCACACACGCGCCGTGAGTGTCCACGGCCTAAGGAATTCGAACCCAGTGCCCGAGTCCTCGTTTGTCACTCTGTCCTGGATCACTTTCTCCCCGCAGTGATCCCTACGTGAAATGTGAAACCATTTCGTCCGACCCCCCACCCTCGCCTTCACCGGTTTAAGGATCTCCCCAGAGCCAAGAGGGACCGCCCCGGACTTCCCGCCCCGAGGTTTCCTTCCCACGAAGGTGCCCGGACAGACGAGCCCAGACGGCCGCTCAGGGCAAGGCGCAGAACACAGGCGGGGCAAGTTCTTACCTGCATGGCGGAAAGCAGTCGGTGCCTCACCCCCTGGCCTCCCCCGGTGTAACACGCTCAGGAGGGAAGTTCTCCTCCTTCCTAGCCGACCCTTCCCCTCGATCCTGCCGGTTTGGCGCCCTAGAGCAGGAGCGCGAGGGCGTCCCGAGGAGCGCTCCGCGGAGGCGCGCGCTCCCCTCCCCGCCCGCCTCGCGCTCCGCCGCGATCCCCGGGCGCCTCGAAAGAGACTTGGGACTTCCGCCCCGGTTGCCCAGCGAGAGGAGCGGGAGGTGGCTTTCGCTCCGGGCGACCCAGGAAGGCAGGGAGGGCCCAGGCGAGCCCTGCTGGCGGCTGAGGCGTGCTCGCGCCTTGGTGCGCCTCGACCCATGTCTGAGGGCGACGGAGTGAGGCGCCCAGAGGGTTTCTACTCAGGGTGTGAAAAAAGGGGGTCTCCCCTCCCCCCTTTCTGCTCAGGTAACTCGAGCAGCAACAACTAAAGCAAGAACCAACCCCAATTCAGAAGGACACCTCAGAGGCTAATACATTTGCTTCTGTGCGAGTTTCCCCTGGATTGCGGTCCACCTCTTCAGTCAGGTGGAGCATCAGAGTTGGTGGTGTTCAAGCAGGGGAGTCCATGTATCTGAAAGGGGCTGGTAATCCACCAGAACTCGGTCCTGAAATAAAACTTTCAGTTTCTGGAGTGCTTTTCGTTTTCTCCCCCCCCCCCACTTTTTTTGTTGCATTGAAGCAAACTAATTTGCCTGCTGCTCTAAAATCAAGCAGCAACATTTCAACAGCGTTAATTGAGAGGCAGAAGCAGGGTGAGTCATTTTGCTGCCGGAGGCTAAGCCAAATCTAGGTGCTTATTGTCCAAAATCAGCCAAATTGGCAGATCCCACCCCAAATGCCACAAACACCTCTCTCCATTTCAGAAGGCAAAAATAATTGCAAAAAAAAACAAAAAAAACTGTCTGATGCACCTGCCTCACCTTGCCTAATGGGTGGGGCAGCTCTGTTTCATAGTAGTGGATAATTCTTTGTTTCAACCGGTGGCAAATGCAGTTTACAGAATAATCGTGTACACAGTCACCATCACTAGCACACACTGAACTGATTACAGTACAGACAAAACTGCTTATTGCCTACCTTTCATTATGTGCTTCCTTACAGACTCCCATGATGATTATCTGCCTCTTATATTGCACCTGGCTGAAAATCTGCCCTTTCTGTGCCTCCACATACCATAACAGCATCACCCTCAGCCTATGGAAGAACAGCTAAACATTTAAATTTTAAAAATCTACAGCTGTTTACAGGTCCAAACTGTCATAAAATAATGAGCTGGAAAGGGGGAACACTGTTAGGGTGCAGGTAAACAGCCAAATTGTCGCAGGATGGATCAGGCTAAATGGGATCACTCTGAGATAAAGAATGCCATTTGGTGCAATCCTTACATCCATATGGAAGGACTGGATGGTTTCAGAGCAAGAAATCACACCACACCTCAAGCAGACCTACGTATTTAGCCCAATCCTTTGAAGAGAAAACAAAACAAAATAAAAAAGATCCTCTACTACATCCCATCCTATCTCCCCCTGAATGGGGGAGTGGGAGAAAGCTACAGGCTTTAAAATAAAATTATTTATTTTTAAGTGTCACAGTGCTAAATGGGCTTGCCAATCAACCAGTTCAGCACCGAATTCTATAAGAGATAAAAAAAAAACTTCCACATTCTCTTCTGGCTCCCTCTCTGTGGTGGTGGTGGGGGCTTTAGAGCATTCATTCATTCATTCATTCATTCATTCATTCATTCATTCATTCATTCATTCATTCATTCAGTCATTCATTCATTCTCCTCCTTTCTCCTTAAAAGGACCCAAGGCAGCCTACCTAATTAAAAGACAATATAAAAGCTGACAACAGTGAGTATACAAATACAAAAATCAAACAAATACCATACAAAAAACACACACACACATACAGTCACTCAGGGAAAGCTTTCTGAAAATAAAGGTACTTGTGGAAAGACAACAAAGATGGAGCTAGTCTGGCCTCTTGTTGTGGTGGGGGAGTTCCAAAGTCAACAGAGAAGGCTCTCTCCTGTATCCCCACCAAATGCACCTGTGAAGGTGGTGGAACTGAGATAAAGTCCCCTCTTGGTGATCTTAAGCTTTGAGTAGACTTATAAAGGGAGATTCTGCAGCAGCTTAAGTGAAGCGACAGCCAAGCAATCCACTTTGGTTCAATGCCTCAGCCAGGGACCCTAAAGGTGCAGGTAGGCATGGCTAAGATCAGGCTGATTGATTAACTGCTTTTCTTGTGGTCACTAGAGAATAGAGTGAACCAATCTCATCACACCCTTATTCATTTTATTTGATTTAAATAATAAAACTAACCTGGGAATGGATATCTATATAAGCTATACAGTATAACTATGAGGAGAGTTGGCAACACAAAGAGGGAGGCATCCCTTTCTGTTTCATGTAACAATTTGGAGTTGTAGAGTGACTTGCAGTATACGTGGGGTGAGTATCTCTCATTATTAGAACATCCAGTAAGACTGATTGGCAATAGATTGTGGACTGCATAAATGAAGACAGCTTCTCAAATCAGGTTTCCTTAAATTCTGTTAAAACTCCATCTGTACCAACACTGCTGTATAAATCATATGTGACACAGAGCTACTGAAATGTACTCTCACGATACATTGGTCAATAAAGATCGTTATTAAATTGCTTTCCCAAAAAAGGAAATTATGTCTGTTAGTGAAGGAAGGCTATTTATATTGGACACTTGTTGGCAGATGGTACCACTTCAAGGTATCATTTAAATATAGCAAGCAGGACAGAAGTGACTTAATAGATAGTCACACTGGGGTACAGTATATGCAGATAAATTGAGGCCTCAGGGGGGGTATGATTACTACAACAGTCTTCTGAATAAATTTGAGGCACTGGCATTTGTTGAAAGGACTAGCCTTGATTTTATGTATGTTCTTGCTTTTGTGGATGAGTAGTTTCTTACACAGTGCTGCTCAATCTACAGAGGAAAGGGAAAGACCAAAACACAGATAAAGCAGGGTTATGTGAAACTATGAAATGTCATTACTCCTGGCACCATGTAAGCAGTACAGTAAACATGGGAGGTTTCCCTTGTAACTTGTCCCTGATTTGGGCTGCATCAGTCAATTTATAATAGCCTTGTCTTACACCGAAATTATTATTTTTGAATCCAAGATCCTTTCCTTTAAATCTACGCCCCATCCTATGTCCAAATACAAATACTTTTTTAGGCAATTGAGAGAAAGAAGTGGTATTGTAGAGCTTGATTGTAGATAGTGGATCATACGGTAAGCCTTGAATGATTGCAGGAAATGCTGAGGTATGTATAGAAGCCAGCCGCTGTCCATAATGTGCTTTTCATGGACAGTCTATATTTGCATCCCAATGTCCTGAAAATAAGTCTGTCAAGAGTAGTCAGGGGTACACTTTATGGATTTCATTCTCTTCCAGCACCATCTACTGACATTTTTGTGACACTACAACTATATCATATTCTTGCATACTAAGGTGATACCTAAATTAGGCCAACTGAAAAAAACACAAAGAACCATGTAGGTTTTCTAAAAAAAAAACAGCAGGTGGATGGATGGGATGGGAGGAAAGGTGGGACCTCAGTTCTCTGTATGTTATTACAGGAAGTAATGCAGATTTGATGCTGCAGACAAAAGCAGTCTTACCAGATGATCATTGAACTGGAGAATATTTATTCTTCCTGTTTCTGCCCTACCATTGGTTGAAAATGTTTTATTTGCAACGTTGTATACTGCCTGTAGTATGTCTGACTGTGAGGAACTTTTTTGTGCTGGGGTAACTGTCTATTTACCCAGCATTAACTAATCCTTCCTTCCAGCCTTTGACATCAAAGATAGCCCTACTTCTCTGTCGACTGTTCTCGTCCCTCTCTTTCCTGGGTTGGGGGCAGTTTGTTGTTGTACTATATAGTTGGTTGCTAAGTAGTCTGCAGTAAATAAAGCAGCATGTACAAGTCTGTAATTTCAAGCAACTGAAATGTTTTTTTGCTCTTTCTTCAACAAATGTCTCAGGGTGAGTTATAGAGATTTTAAGTTCCTGTTAATGAGAAAGTGATGGACTCTGGGGAACTTGTTGCTGTTCTCCTCTGTGGTTTCTCTATTTCTACTGCATAGCAAAATTAATTTTTTACCAGAAACTCAAAACTCTGCAACAGGAAATTATCAAGGCTATTTTGACAAGTCCGGCGACTCTAAACTGTTCCATTGTGCTGCATCCAAACAAGTCTCCTATGTTTTTCAGTCAATAAATTCTTCTACTTCTTGTACTACTTTCCCTATTTGTTTTATTTTGAATGCTGTACCCTGTGTTTTTCATTACACAGTAGGACCCCCATATCTGCTGGGGATTTTGGTTCCAAGCCCCATCGTGGAGAATAGTGAACACTATCTAGGACAGTGGTGGCGAATCTTTTCGGGCTCACGTGCCCAAACTGGGGGGGGGGGGAAACAGTGAGCGGTGTGCCACCACGGTGGAAATGGAATTGGCAGTGGCGGAACAGGAAGTGGCCATGGAAGGGAGAATCCCAGCACGGAGGTGCCTCGAGACCCCACTCTGGATCCGCTGCCAGCATCAGCTGCTCCGAATCCACCTGCTGAAGCGTCAGCACCACAG